AACAAGACATCCCTCTTAATAACAAGACATACCTCCAAATAACTAGACATCCCTCTAAATTATAAGACATCACTCTTAATAACAAGACATCCCTCCAAATAACAAGACATCCCTCTAAATAACAAGACATCCCTCCAAATATGAAGACATCCCTCTAAATAACAAGACATCCCTCTAAATAACAAGACATCCCTCTAAATAACAAGATATCTCTCCAAATAACAAGACATCTCTCTAAAAAACAAGACATCCCTCTAAATATTAAGACATCCCTCTAAATAACAAGACATCCCTCTAAATAACAAGACATCCCCCGAAATAACAAGACATCCCTCTAAATAACAATACATCCCTCTAAATAACAAGACATCCCTCTAAATAACAAGACAATTCTCTAAAAAACTAGTCATTCCTCCAAATATTAAGACATCCCTCTAAATAACAAGACATCCCTCCAAATACCAAGACATCCCTCTAAATAACAAGACATCCCTCCAAATAACAAGACAACCCTTAAAAAACAAGAAATCCCTCTAAATGACAAGACATCCCTCTAAATAACAAGACATCCCTCTAAATAAAAGACATCCCTCTAAATAACTAGACATCCCTCTAAATAACAAGACATCCCTATAACTATTAAAACATCCCTCTAAATAACAAGACATCCCTCAAAATAGCAAGACATCCCTCTAAAAAAACAAGAAATCCCTCTAAATGACAAGACATCCCTCCAAATAACAAGACAACCCTCTAAAAAACAAAAAATCCCTCTAAATAACAAGACATCCCTCCAAATAACAAGACAACCCTCTAAAAAACAAAAATCCCTCTAAATAACAAGACATCTCTCTAAAAAACAAGACATCCCTTTAAATATCAAGACATCCCTCTAAATAACAAGACATCCCTCCAAATACCAAGACATCCCTCTAAATAACAAGACATCCCTCCAAGTAACAAAATAACCCTCTAAAAAACAAGACATCCCTCTAAATAACAAGACATCCATCTAAATAACAAGACATTCCTCTAAATATTAAGACATCCCTCTAAATAACAAGACATCCCTCCAAATATGAAGACATCCCTCTAAATAACAAGACATCCCTCTAAATAACAAGACATTCCTCTAAATATTAAAACATCCCTCTTAATAACAAGACATCCCTCCAAATAACAAGACATCCCTCTAAATAACAAGACATCCCTCCAAATATGAAGACATCCCTCTAAATAACAAGACATCCCTCTAAATAACAAGACATCCCTCTAAATAAAAAGACATCTCTCCAAATAACAAGACATCCTTCTAAATAACAAGACATCCCTCCAAATAACAAGACAACCCTCTAAAAAACAAAAAATCCCTCTAAATAACAAGACATCTCTCTAAAAAACAAGACATCCCTCTAAATATCAAGACATCCCTCTAAATAACAAGACATCCCTCCAAATACCAAGACATCCCTCTAAATAACAAGACATCCCTCCAAGTAACAAAATAACCCTCTAAAAAACAAGACATCCCTCTAAATAACAAGACATCCATCTAAATAACAAGACATTCCTCTAAATATTAAGACATCCCTCTAAATAACAAGACATACCTGTAAATAACAAGACATCCCTCTAAATTATAAGACATCCCACTTAATAACAAGACATCCCTCCAAATAACAAGACATCCCTCTAAATAACAAGACATCCCTCCAAATATGAAGACATCCCTCTAAATAACAAGACATCCCTCTAAATAACAAGACATCCCCCGAAATAACAAGACATCCCTCTAAATAACAATACATCCCTCTAAATAACAAGACATCCCTCCAAATAACAAGACAACCCTCTAAAAAACAAGAAATCCCTCTAAATGACAAGACATCCCTCTAAATCACAAGACATCCCTCTAAATAAAAAGACACCCCTCTAAATAACTAGACATCCCTCTAAATAACAAGACATCCCTATAAATATTAAGACATCCCTCCAAATACCAAGACATCCCTCTAAATAAAAAGACATCCCTCTAAATAACTAGACATCCCTCTAAATAACAAGACATCCCTATAAATATTAAGACATCCCTCCAAATAACAAGACATCCCTCAAAATAGCAAGACATCCCTCTAAATATTAAGACATCCCTTCAAATAACAAGACATCTCTCTAAATAACAAGACATCCCTCTAAATAACAAGACATCCCTCTAAATAACAAGACATCCCTCTAAATAACAGGACATCCCTCTAAATAAAAAGACATCCCTCTAAATAACTAGACATCCCTTCAAATAACAAGACATCCCTCTAAATAACAAGACATCCCTCCAAATATGAAGACATCCCTCTAAATAACAAGACATCCCTCTAAATAACAAGACATCCCTCTAAATAACAAGACATCTCTCCAAATAACAAGACATCCCTCTAAATAACAAGACATCCCTCTAAAAAACAAGACATCCCTCTAAATATTAAGACATCCCTCTAAATAACAAGACATCCCTCCAAATAACAAGACAACCCTCTAAAAAACAAAAAATCCCTCTAAATAACAAGACATCTCTCTAAAAAACAAGACATCCCTCTAAATATCAAGACATCCCTCTAAATAACAAGACATCCCTCTAAATAACAAGACATCCCTCCAAATACCAAGACATCCCTCAAAATAACAAGACATCCCTCCAAGTAACAAAATAACCCTCTAAAAAACAAGACATCCCTCTAAATAACAAGACATACCTTTAAATAACAAGACATCCCTCTAAATAACAAGACATCCCTCTAAATAACAAGACATCCCTCTAAATAACAGGACATCCCTCTAAATAAAAAGACATCCCTCTAAATAACTAGACATCCCTTCAAATAACAAGACATCCCTCTAAATAACAAGACATCCCTCCAAATATGAAGACATCCCTCTAAATAACAAGACATCCCTCCAAATAACAAGACAACCCTTAAAAAACAAGAAATCCCTCTAAATGACAAGACATCCCTCTAAATAACAAGACATCCCTCTAAATAAAAGACATCCCTCTAAATAACTAGACATCCCTCTAAATAACAAGACATCCCTATAACTATTAAAACATCCCTCTAAATAACAAGACATCCCTCAAAATAGCAAGACATCCCTCTAAAAAACAAGAAATCCCTCTAAATGACAAGACATCCCTCCAAATAACAAGACAACCCTCTAAAAAACAAAAAAATCCCTCTAAATAACAAGACATCCCTCCAAATAACAAGACAACCCTCTAAAAAACAAAAAATCCCTCTAAATAATAAGACATCTCTCTAAAAAACAAGACATCCCTTTAAATATCAAGACATCCCTCTAAATAACAAGACATCCCTCCAAATACCAAGACATCCCTCTAAATAACAAGACATCCCTCCAAGTAACAAAATAACCCTCTAAAAAACAAGACATCCCGCTAAATAACAAGACATCCATCTAAATAACAAGACATTCCTCTAAATATTAAGACATCCCTCTAAATAACAAGACATCCCTCCAAATATGAAGACATCCCTCTAAATAACAAGACATCCCTCTAAATAACAAGACATCCCTCTAAATATTAAAACATCCCTCTTAATAACAAGACATCCCTCCAAATAACAAGACATCCCTCTAAATAACAAGACATCCCTCCAAATATGAAGACATCCCTCTAAATAACAAGACATCCCTCTAAATAACAAGACATCCCTCTAAATAAAAAGACATCTCTCCAAATAACAAGACATCCTTCTAAATAACAAGACATCCCTCTAAAAAACAAGACATCCCTCTAAATATTAAGACATCCCTCTAAATAACAAGACATCCCTCCAAATAACAAGACAACCCTCTAAAAAACCAAAAATCCCTCTAAATAACAAGACATCCCTCCAAATAACAAGACAACCCTCTAAAAAACAAAAAATCCCTCTAAATAACAAGACATCTCTCTAAAAAACAAGACATCCCTTTAAATATCAAGACATCCCTCTAAATAACAAGACATCCCTCCAAATACCAAGACATCCCTCTAAATAACAAGACATCCCTCCAAGTAACAAAATAACCCTCTAAAAAACAAGACATCCCTCTAAATAACAAGACATCCATCTAAATAACAAGACATTCCTCTAAATATTAAGACATCCCTCCAAATAACAAGACAACCCTTTAAAAACAAGACATCCCTCTAAATAACAAGACATTCCTCTAAATAACAAGACATCCCTCTAAATATTAAGACATCCCTCCAAATAACAAGACATCCCTCTAAATAACAAAACATCCCTCTAAATAACAAGACATCCCTCCAAATATTAAGACATCCCTTTAAATAACAAGACATCCCTCTAAATAACAAGACATCCCTCTAAATAACAAGACATCCCTCTAAATAACTAGACCTCCCTCCAAATACCAAGACATCCCTCTAAATAACAAGACATCCCTTTTAAATAACAAGACATTCCTCTAAATAACAAGACATCTCTCTAAATAACAAGACATCCCTCCAAATAAAAAGACATCCCTCTAAATAGCAAGACATCCCTCTAAATAACAAGACATCCCTCCAAATAACAAGATATCCCTCTAAATAACAAGACATTCCTCCAAATAACAAGACTTCCCTCCAAATAACAAGACATCTCTCTAAATAACAAGACATCCCTCTAAATAACAAGACATCCCTCTAAATATTAACACATCCTTCCATTTTATTAGAAAAAGATAAAAACTAGTGTATTAAATTTATTCTCCATTTCAATCACAACTCAAATTATTATTGTTATTTACAAAATTAACAATCAGAACAAAACAAAAGTCTTTAACATCTGGAATTCAACCAACATTATAAAATCAAATGCTGCTTCTTGTACAATTAATATAAACATATATTACACTCGCCAACACTTAAAATTTGCTTGGCTCATAATACTTTAAAACTTTAAAATTTCTTCTGACACTTTGGCTTCCCAACTTTATAGATCCAATTTCTCCGGCTTGTGCACAGTCCTATGTGATCTCCTCAAAACTGTAGATGGACTGTATTGCACACCCCGTGGTTTCCCAACATCAGACTTCAATCTAGGCAAATAAGGTGAAGCATCATGTCTTGATATTGATGGTGATGTAGACTCCTGAAAAATAGGCAAATCTCTATTGAATTCTTGTTGATGTGCCTCGATAGTCCTTCTTCCAACTTCCTCTTTCCGCACGACGATTTCGTCCTCCTCTACCTCAGTTGGCCTAAGATGGTCTGCATGGCAAACTCTTGTTTTGCCAAGAACACTAACCAAATAAGTAACTGGACTTTTACACTTGAATATACGACCTGGAACCCAACTAACTTTCTCCTGTCTGACTGTTTTAACCAACACCTTCTGATTTTCATTAAAAAATCTACACGCACCTCTATGCCTATCTGAGGCTCGTTTCTGCATTTCCTGCTTCTTCCTTGACTCGTCTAGTAGATTAGGTTTTAACATAGTCAATTTTGTTCGAGGTTTCCAACGTAAGAACAGTTCAGCCGGGCTCACACCGGTTACTGACGATGGAGTATTACGATATGCGAAAAGAAAGTTATCCAATTTATACTGCAGTGATGTCTGCTGAGATGATTTTTCACCCAAAACTTGCCTTAACAAACTTTTCTTAACTTCTTGAACAGAACTCTCGGCTGCTCCATTGGAGGCAGGGTGATATGGTGGAGAAAATGTTTGTTTCACACCATTTTTTCTAAGAAACTCCCTGAATTCTAGGCTGGTAAAAGACGTGCCGTTGTCACACACCAACTCCTCAGGTAAACCATAAGCAGAAAATAGTGTACGAAGTTTCTCAATGGTCTTCCCCGTGGAAATAGAACCCATTAAAAATACTTCCATCCACTTTGAAAAACTATCCACTACAATCAACATTTGCTGTCTGGTGGTTGGATCTTCAGCAAAATCGATATGAATTCGGCGCCATCTCTCGGAAATTAACGGCCATTGCTGCAATGGAACTTGGGGCGTAAAGAGGGTAATATATGACTCAACAATAATCCAAGGGTGAAGAGTAACAAGAGACACTAGAGAGTAGAGGTGGCACATGGGCGGAAGCCGTGGGTGGATGGCGGATGACGACGTCTTGGGAAGAGGGTAGCCAACTTGTAGATTGAGTAGAGATGAGGGAAGTGTGCACACTTTTGGGGAACACTTGTGGGGAATCCAGTAATCCTAATCCACTAAAGTTGGCACTTGACACAGGCACTCGCGACGAAGACGCGGCGGACGTAACTGCTTAGCGGCGGCGACAATAACGTACTTAATAACTTATTTAAAAAAAAAACACCTTTTACAGAGTTTGACGTCGAGAAAGTTTTATTAATTGTTCGTGACAAGCGATAGAAGAGTGGTAGAGAGTCCGAGAAGCGGTTTTAGCGGTAAAAGTTTATAAATAGAGAAAGACTAACGAAATACGGCGCAATGCACGTATTCAGCCGAGGAGAGTTACATTTCAACTGAACATTATTTTTGGAGGGGGAAGGGACGCTACCTCAATGTTTCTTAGAGGGGTACCGCAAATTTATCCATGTCCATATCACGCCCCATTTTTTAACCAATAGGATTCGTCCTGCATCGCACAACACAGCCGAGATAGTGTGTGTGTTTTATGTAGGCTTGTGTGAGTGAGAGTCTAACATTTGATACAACAATACTTAATGAAATTGAAATGAGACTTAAAAATACAGATTTAGTTTGGAAATAAGCTACCACTAATTGAACAATAATTATGATGATAAATATAGTAATTATTAATTAAATACAGAACATCCGGGCCCCCTTGAATCTACTTGGAGATTCAAAACAAAATACAGAGGAACACATTTCAGACACCTAAGACATATAATTATAACTAAAGCTATATACATGAGAGAGATGTCTTGTTATTTAGAGGGATGTCTTGTTAATTGGAGAGATGTCTTAATATTTAAAGGGGTGTCTTGTTTTTTAGAGGGATGTCTTGTTATTTAGAGGGATGTCTTGTTATTTAGAGGGATGTATTGTTATTTGGAAGGATGTCTTGTTATTTAGAGGTATGTCTTGTTATTTTGAGGGATGTCTTGTTATTTAGAGGGATGTCTTGTTATTTAGAGGGATGTCTTGTTATTTGGAGGGATGTCTTGTTATTTAGAGGGTTGTCTTGTTATTTAGAGGGATGTCTTGTTATTTGGAGGGATGTCTTAATATTTAGAGGGATGTCTTGTTATTTAGAGGGATGTCTTGTTATTTAAAGGGATGTCTTGTTATTTAGAGGGATGTCCCTTTATTTAGAGGGATGTCTTAATCTTAACAAGACACCCCTCTAAATAACAAGACGTCCCTCTAAATATTAAGACATCCCTCCAAATAACAAGACATCCCTCTAAATATTAAGACATCCCTCCAAAAAACAAGACATCCCTCTAAATAACATGACATCCCTCTTAATAACAAGACATCCTTCTAAATAACAAAACATCCCTCTAAATAACAAGACATCTCTCTAAATAACAAGACATCCTCCCAAATAACAAGACATCTCTCCAAATAACAAGACATCCCTCTTAATAATAATTGAGGGTTAAATTCAATATTACATTGTAAACTATGTGTCTTTTGATTTTATGAGATTTCGGTTTCAAATAATGCTATCAGAACATAAAAATTTATAGGAAAACCAGGAAAGTTACAACAAAAACTAAGTTTTATTTAATGTTTAATACAAATACCGGGATTTATCTTTCTTATATATTTTCTTATTGTGTTATTATTCAAAATTAGCCTAATTAATAAATTAGTGACAACATGACAGTTAAAATTCAACAACAGGTAATGGAATTAAAAGGCAAACAAAAAAGTCTTACAAAATATGAATTATTGGCCTAGCACTGAAAGGGTTAAGAAAAAGACTTGTAACTGCTATCAGAAAAAGACCAACTAAGGAGATGGACCAAGCAACTTTGTACAGTGAGGTTCTTCGTTCAAGCCCATACAAAACCACGAGCACTACTGTTTCGACACTTACTACCACGGCTCAATTTATAACCCCTGTTACAACTAAACAAGTGAAAACTCCTTTGACCGATCCACGAGTTAGCTGGATTTTCGATTTAAATAGAGACGACTTGGTTAGTGAAATGAAAAAGTACGGACTGAGAATTTTTACAGAAATGGAAGTCATACCATTTTGTTCAGAATTTAAAGGGCTACATGATTCTAAATTTTTAAATAACTTCTTGATTAGCATTGTACGTGTTATTAAATTTACGGAAAGTAAATAAAAGAAACGTCTTATAACACTTAAAACATATATTTACGCTTATACTGTTACTCACAAGACGGTAAATATACAAAACAGATGGTAAGTGGTGATCGATTTCGATTGGACACTCCAATCATCATCAGACCCAATATGCGAATGACAAGAATCTTAATGGCGTCCCTACTTATACCCTATTGGCTACCGGAAGCACCGGCCAATACATTTTTATAAGTACAACTGGAATCAAAATGTATTTGTTCATTAATCAACTTATTTCGATTTTTACATTTTTCCTTATAAATATACAATTCTTCCCAAGCATTCATGGCATATCCTTTCTTACAATTCTTTAAAATATCTAAATCTAAATTTTTATCCGAATCGTTTGGTGTATTTAGGAGAAAATTTAGATACTTCGTTTTTTTATTGAAATTTTTATGTTAAAATAACATAATTTACAATAACTTTTGAACCAGAATTTTCACAGAGATGGAAGTCATACCATTTTGTTCAGAATTTAAAGGACTACATGATTGTAAATGTTTATCCGAATCGTTTGGTGCATTTGAGAGAAAATTTGGTATTTTCGTTATTTTATGGAGATTTTTACTTTTGAACCAGAATTTTCACAGAGATGGAAGTCATACCATTTTGTTTAGAATTTAAAGGGCTTCATCATTCTAAATTTTAATCAGAATCGTTTGGTGCAATTAGGAGAAATTTAGATTTTTCGTTATTTTGTAACATGTTAAATTTTACCATGCAATATTTTTGTGTAAGGGGCCGATTAGCTCCAATGGAAGGTCACAAATGTAAATTTGTAAATCCCGCCAACGTTTGAGTCGACGGCTTCCATTCGCACAGCACCGGGCGCTCTGCGCATGCCAAACTGGACCTGCGCACAAGCGTCGTCCCCGGCCGTTGCACCGTAGGCAGCTCTTCGAGACGGTCGAGGCCAGGACACGATAGATTTGACTTCACGTGTAGTGACAGTCGAGTCAGGGATTCGATCATACCCACTACGAAGGCACGAGACAGACGACGGGTCTCCGAGGACCAAGTACGACGACTCTGTATAAGGTAGTCATCACCTTGCTTTGAAATATACATTTGTCGTACCATTCGTTCAAATCTAGTACAAGATAAAGTTTCATTGAACATCCCTCCAATTAACAAGACATCCCTCTAAATAACAAGACATCCCTCTAAATAACAAGACATTGAATTGAATTAAATTGAAAATAACTTTATTCATAAATCATACAAGTATGTACATTGAATGGCGTCAAAATGCTTAAACTACTTAAACTTACAACATAATATCAGCTGTACAGTTCATCAAAATTATACAGTACTTTTTGTGTTAAGTATATTTTAAGCTGGGATTTAAATTTTTTACAATCATCAATTTTCCTCAACCACTCTGGAAGCCCTTCCAAAAATTTTCTTCCAGCACATGAAGGTTTTTTGTTATAAAATTCCAATCTATGGGCACCAACAGCAATTTTGTTTCTATGCCGGGTGCCATATTCGTGGTAATCCCCTAGTTTAGGTAACATACTTTCAGACAAAAGATTTTTAGTTAAAAGAACGGTATGGAAAACATAAATGCCGTACACAGTCATTATACCCATGGCTAAGAAATGATCACGTACGGAAACATCCCAGTTTAAATTTAACATTAGTCTTATTGCTCTTTTCTGCAAAATTAAAATTCTATCCAAATTTTTCTTAGATGTTCCACCATAAACACTTATGCCACATGATATTGCGGATTCAATGAAAGCAAAATAAAGCTTTTTCAAAATATCTGCTGAACAAAATTTAGACATTCTATAAATTGCATATATTCCAGATGTGATTTTGCTGACAACATGGTCAACATGGGAGTTTTATGAAAGATTTTCATCAACTACTAAGCCCAAAAATTTAGTTGTAGTTACTTGATTAAGATTAGAATCTTTAAAATTAATCACTGGATCTATTGGATTTTTTTGTTTACCTGTTGAAAATACCAAAAAGTTGGTTTTACTGGAATTTAAAAGTAATTGATGATAAATTAAGAAAGCATCTATTGTTTTAGGCAATTCAAAGAGTTAAATTCCAAACCGAAAACAGATGTACTGCTTACTTTTAAACTTGCATCGTCTGCATACAAACTTATTTTATTAAATATATTGTTTTGAAGTGACCCGGGCATTCCTTTGATGTAACAAAGAAATAAAACAGGTCCTAAAATCGAACCCTGTGGGACCCCATGTTGAATAATAGATAACTTTGAGCAGGAGGTTGAAAAAACGTTATTTTTTAATTGCTTCATTTCAACATACTGAGATCTCTGAGTTAAATAGGATCGAAACCACTTAAATGACCTGCTGTCGGCACCCAAATCTCGGATCTTCCCCCAAAAGAAGCTGGTGTGATACACTGTCAAAGGCCTTAGTTAGGTCCAAAAATATGCCCACTGTTTTATCCCCTTTATCCACTGAGTTTATTATTGAATCGACAAAATCTACTGCTGCAGTTATAACAGATCTACCTGGTCTGAATCCATGTTGTTCATCATCATGCAAATGGTTTTCTT